GGGGGTGGGCGGGTGCGAGGTCGCGATCCGGCGGCGCCACCCGCCCCCACCCCCCACACCCACACCTACACCCACACCCCACGCCCACACCCATACCCACACCCACACCCCACACCCACACCCATACCCACGCCCACACCCACACCCACACCCCGCAAGATACGTTCTAGAAGTAGTGAGATACTCATCGTTTGTTTTTTCTTACTTGGAAAAAGCCAAAAGCAAAAACTAAAGGAAGTATGCACTAAGCACGTGTTTTACATAAAATTAAAGGTATTAATACGAAAAACGAAGAAATCAAATATAAAAAAGTCACGCATGATTAATTCAGGTAAAAACTATGTTGAAGAAAAGGTAAATTACAACTATAAATACGAAGTAATGTCACTCGTAGACATATTGACTGGTAAGTAGTCTTATTTAGTTATCAACATTTTAAACATTCTTGAAAAATATACTGAACGGATGAATAAGATGATTAGTAATAGATATAGACAATTAACTTTGATATGAAACGTAAATGCTTGTTTATGTAAGTGTTAACATTTCAACATAGGAGTTTTGTTTGTTTCTATAACTTGTCTTAAATAATAAATCGATAAAAATAAAACACAATACAGATATACGTATATAGAAGCCTGCCACCTTCACAATAGAGACCTGCGGGGGCCCCCGAACTCCGATTCCAACTCCGACTCCGCGGAGTCGGAGTCAGGGAAATAAAAGTTTTCAGAATCGGAGTCGAAGTCAATTTTATTGTCAGGGTTGATCGGAGTCCGATTAACCCCGAAAAATTATAATTGTGTGATAAAATTTCGCTATTTCACACAACAATATCCTCATTTTTCATGTTAAGAAGAAAAAAAACAAAATACAACACTTGGCAATATAGTGAGATTCCACTTCAGGACAAAAAAGAACAAATGAATCATCTTGACAGTATAAGATTCGAATGATCGACCAAGAAAAACAATGCTATTTTTCAAGAAATACACTCTGCGAATCATTGACGAGAATTACATGAAAATATTGCTGCATTGAACTAGAATTGAAGTGCTTCTCTTCTTTACTATTTTCCCAGATTCATTGTTTTCATCTATCACCTTTCGAAATTCATTTTTTCTCAAACATCTATTAGTCATTTTATATTTTTTAGTGCACCATAAATGCAAAACTCAAAATTACTTCTTTGATTTTTCTTTGATTTTCATTCACGCATTTGTTGATCTAGTTTGATGTATTCAAAAGTAAGCAATAAAATATATCAGAGGTCATCTATTTTCAATAATAATTTTTTGGAGTTTTCTGGAGTTGGAAAAAAATATTTTTCGGAGTCGGAGTCGAGTTTGGAAATAAAAAAATTGACTTCATAGGTCTCTACTTCACAATCATCTTGCATATATATAATAGAAGACGAGCCAATGACTTGAAAAATTTGTTGACAATTAATGGCAGTCGAGAAGGTTATCTCAAAAAATATAATAAAACAAAATTGAACATTAATCGGTAAACGAACATATTTTCTGATGCTTTTAAAACCACATTCATTAGAATTCAGTCTTACAGATTCGCTTCTCGTGTTTGGCTATTTACAAAAGTATTTAAGAAATCGTTTTCAAAGTGCTCGGTGCTCTTTGAATATTTTACCCTCTTGTAGATAAATTATCAAATTACAAAGTCTATTCAATATGAGTCAACAACAGCCAATGCGCACAAATTTTATGCCAACAATACGTTTAATAGGTGCCATGCAGCCAAGATGTCTCATGTACGAAAAATATTTGACCATCTGGCTTGATGAAAATATGAATCTGACGAGTGATGATTCTAAATACTTGCTGATGCAGTTACAAACTGCAACGAATGATGTGCTTTTTCTCAAACAATGTGATGATTTGATTCGTTCCCTTAAAGAAACTGATGCCCAAAAGATATATCTAGTTTTACCGAATGCTATCAATGAATCCGTCATGACCAATGTCCATGATCTTCCTCATCTTCACAGTATTTATGTCTTTAGTAAAGAAATACATGACCAAAATGATTGGAGCAACAAATGGAAAAAGATTAAAGGTGTATATACAGATATTAAACAAATTTGTCAGGCATTGCAAATGACAAATAAGCAATTCAATCAAAACAATATTTCGACAAGTATTATCAATATGAACGAGGACGGTTCCTGCAAAAATCTCGATCAATTGGATCCTTCATTCATGTATACTGGATTACTGAAGGAAATCCTTCTTGAAATTGAGTACAAAGAGGACGTCATCAAAGAATTTACTCAATTTTGGCATGCCACAGAGATAGATAACAAGTCTATAGAGAAAGATATTGCTAAGTTCGAACGTGAATATAGTCCAGAATATTCTATTAGGTGGTATACAAAAGCAGGCTTTATTTACCGTGTACTGAACTTATCTCTTCGAATAATGGATGTAGAAGCAATAATGAAAATGAGCTTTTTTCTTTGTGATCTACACCGAACAATCCAGAAATATTACAATGAACACATCAGTTTTAATGGAACGGAGCTTTCAGAAGTTTATCGAGGACAAGTACTTTCGACGAACGATTTTAATAAACTAAGCAAAGGAGGACTGATATCGTTCAACAATTTTTTATCTACTACTACAGATAAAGATGTGGCTTCTATATTCATGGAAAGTTCTTTAGAAAACCCAGGTACAGTGGGTATACTTTTTAAAATACTCATCAGTTCTACAATTTCATCAACTCCCTTTGCGTCTATTGGTGAAGGGAGTTATTACAATACTGAACAAGAAATACTCTTCACAATGCACAGTGTTTTTAGAATTGATAAAATTAAAAAATGTGACAGCAACGATCGACTTTATGAAGTAAGTTTAATACCAACAGCAGACGATGATAAACAATTACAAGAACTGAGAGAGACAGTGCGACAAGAAGTTTCAGGTTCCACTGGTTGGTATCGATTGGCCAGATTGCTCTTAAAAATAAATCAGTACAACAAAGCCGAAAAGATATACATGACACTCCTAGAACAGGCGTCAGACAACAACAGTCGAAGACAAATTTATCACCAAATCGCCTTCTTGAAGGCCAATCAAGGAAGATACCAACAAGCACTTGAATTTCATCAAAAGTATTTGGAACACAGTGAACAATATCTTTATCAGAAGTATCCTGATCTTGCTATAACATACAATAACATGGCTACCGTATATCAAGACCTTGGTGAATATTCGAAAGCACTTGAATTTTATAAAAAATCTCTCTTAATTATGGAAGAAGTTTTATCGCTGAATCATCGTGACCTCCTTACAATCTATAATAACATTGGTACATTGTATCAAAAGATGGGAAAATACTCAAAAGCGATTGAATTTTACCAAAAATCATATGAAAACATGAAAAAAGCACTGCCTTCAATTCATCCTTCTATTGCTGTCTCCTGCAGTAGCCTTGCTGCAGTGTATGAAGCTATGGGAGAATTTTCTAAGGCACTTGAATATTATGAAGAATCATTGAAAATACGTGAAAAAGCTCTACCTTTGACACATCCTGATTTGGCTTCTTCCTATACTAACATTGCCGCAATGCATAACGCCATGGGTAATTATTCCAAAGCATTTGAATTTTACGAAAAATCACTTGATATTACGACAAGAGCTCTGTCACAGTATCACCTAGATTCGGCTATCGTATACAACAATATTGGTACAGTGTATGGTCAGATCGGTGAATATAGTAAAGCCTACGAAAACTTCAAAAAATCCTCTGAAATTATGAAAAAAGTTGCCGACCAGAATGATCCTCGTGTTACAGGATTCGACAATAGGAGTCGCTCACTGTTGGAGAAGATGCCAGAAAATTTTGAAGATCTTAAATCCTGTGAGGAATCTCTTAAAGTCATGGAAAAAGTTCTCCCTAAAAATCATCCGGCTTTGGCAATAATATGCAATAACCTTGATACAATATACAGTACAATGGGAAAATATCCTCAAGCGTTAGAATTTTATAAAAAGGGCCAGAAAGATTCGAAATCATCGGCATGCTTTGATGATATTAATAAAACATCTGAAAACAACGATAAATGCTCAGAAGCTCTTATGCTTTATGAAAAGTCACTCAAAACGCTAGAAAAATCTCTAATTCCTAACAACCTCTCATTAGCTTCATTCTACATTAACATTGGTGGCGTGTATCTCAATATGGGTGAATTCTCGAAAGCACTTAAATTTTATGAAAAATCCCTTGCAATTAAGAAAGCTGTTCTGCCTTCAGATCATTCCGACTTTGCTACATTCTACAATAACATTGGCCTGGTATATGATGAAATGGGGGAATATCATCAAGCAATTGAATATTACGAGGAATCACTTAAAATTATGGAAAAAGCCCTGCCTTCTCATCATCCTGATTTGATTTCATACTACAACAACATTTGTGCAGTATACATAAAGAGCAACGAAAACATTAAAGCACTTGAATACTACAAAAAATCGAAAGAGATACAAGAAAGAATTCTGCTTCCCGATCATCCAAATTTAGCAACATCCTACACTAGCATTGCTTTAATACATAACAATATGGGTGAATACTCCAAAGCGATTGAATTTTTGGAAAAAGCACTGAAAATACGACAAACTTCTTTCTCACCAAACCATCCTGATCTGGCTACATGCTGCAACAACATGGGCTTAATTTATAACAATATGACTCAATACAAGAAAGCTTCAGAATTTTACGAGAAGGCTCGCGAAATCATGGAAAACGTTCTCCCTGCAGATCATCCAGATTTAAGTAAAACCTTCAACAATATTGGTCTAGTGTATCTAAAAATGGGTGATTACTCGAATGCACTACAGTTCTATAATAAATCACTTAAAATCATGGAAAAAACTTTGCCCCAGAATCATCCCAATTTAGCTACAATCTATAACAATATCGCCGGAGTGCATAGCAACATGAATGAATACTGTAAAGCATTGGAATTCTACAACAAATCACTCAAAATACGACAGCGAAATCTGCCAGCAAGTCTTTTTCACTTGAGTACATCCTACAACAATATTGGCCTGGTACATAAAAAGATGGGTGCATACTCTGAGGCCCTTAAATCTTACGAAGCATCCCTTGAAATCATGGAAAAAGTTCTGAGTCCGAATCATCCTACGTTGGCTACATTGTATAACAATATAGGTTCACTTTATGATGATATCGCTGAGTATCAGAAAGCACTTAGATATTACCAAAAGAGTCTTCCAATCACAGAAAATATGATTCCGCCTAATGACCAGTTGCTGGTCACGTGTTACAATAAGATTGGCACAGCATATACAAATTTGGGTGAATATATGAAAGCATTTGAGTTTTGCTCGAAAGCACTCGAAATACATGAAAAAGCTCCAGTTCGTAATCATTGTGATATAGGTCTGTGCTACAGTAATATAGGTTTAGTTTATAACTACTTGGGTGAATATCAAAAGGCATACGAATCACACCAAAAATCTTTTGAAACAATGCAAATGGCTGTTCCGTGTGATCATCCCTCATTCGCTTCAGTCTACCACAATGCTGGCCTTATGCATAACAGCATGGGTGAATATACCAAAGCCCTTGAATTTTACGAAAAAGAGAGCAATATAAGAGAGAAAGTATCACCTCTGAATCATCCATCATTGATGACATCCTACAATCACATTGGTCTAGTGTATAAAAACATGGGTGAATACTCGAAAGCACTTGAATTTTTTAATAGAGGTCTTGAAAACATGAAGAGCAGTTTGAATACAAATGTTTGGAGCTTCAGTTTTATATATAATTGGTTGCTGCGAGCTTATCGTATCATACAAGAATTGGTAAGAGCACTGTATTACTTTCGAAGTTTGACGACAAGCTTTGAACCAGATCGATGTGAACAGCATCATCCTATGAGCGCTATTATCTACAGTAATATTGGAGATGTTTATCGACTGATGGGTAATTACAAAAAAGCGTTGTCATTTCATCAGGAAGCATTAAAAGTTCAACAAAATGTTCAATGTAATCCTCTGCAGCGTGCAACAATATATGTGAATTTTGGTGAAACATATCGCGAACTGAAAGATTACAAAACAGCATTGGAATATTATGAAAAAGGATTAGAACTACATAAAATGAAATTACCAGAAAATCATCCTGATTTAGGAGTTCTATTTCACAATATGTCGAAGTTATATTGGGCTTTTGGAGAACATAGCAAAGCAATAGAAACTGTACAACAAGCATTAAAAATTGCTCAAGAGCGGCTGCCATCATGTCATCCTCATCTTCTTGATTGTCAAAAAACATTGTCATTACTTCAAATGAATGTGTGAAATTATGTTTTAAATCACTTGAATAGACTATCTTGGGGAGGAGTATGTCAAAATACATAGATATAATAATCAGTAATTAGCAAGACATGTTTCATTTACACTGAAGTAAAATTTTGATTTTTTTAAAATTCATGATAAGCCGTCATGCGATCTAGCGCTTTAGGACCGAATCATGCTACATTATTCACTCGTAATATAAATAAGAAATGGCGCCCCAGGTGAATAAATCCGATAACGGAACCTATCGGATCTGATCGGATCCGATCATCCGATAAAATCCGATAGGATTCCTGGAAATGAATCCATTAACGGATCCGACGGAAAAACCTATTTAATTAATTCAGCACCAATAACTAATTAGTAGCAATATTAGAGATCAGCCAAACTGGGACGTCGGATTCCGTTGAGTTCCGATAGTAGGATCCTATCGGATTGCAACACTACGGGTCCGTTGGTCGATTCGTTTCCCGGATTCCGATAGGATTTCGTCGGATTGACGGAAATTCATATAAAATCCGATCGGATTCCTGTCGGATCCGAGTCGATCCTATTGTCGGATTGAATGTCCTGGGTTCATAAATGAATACCGCCATTGATTTGAATGATGAACATGCTGGATAAAGAAGAGCTATACTTAAGTTGAATGTAAACGACTAATGAGTGGGATCAGTCGATAAAAATACTTTTTTTTTTTTTTTCTTTTTTTTTTTGCCAGGGGAAAGTTTATTGTTACGCTCTGGAGCGCTTACAATATAGAGATACAAGTTAAAAAGAACACAAAATTCTAGGTGCGAACAAAAGGAAAAAAAAGAATACGCAGTTAATCGACTTAGAAACTGAGGTTACGTTGTGACATGTGAAGGTAGGATAAAAGAATAAAGGGAGAGAGAGAAAAAAAAGGGCAAAGGAAAGGGGATCAAAAAAAGGGGACGAAGGGAAGCTACAGATGCAGAGAGATAGTGAGATAGTGTGTAAACTTGCGTTGTTTATCTGCTCTGCTAGGAGCACTTGCCTTCGACAAAACCCAACCATACCACTAACAGGGATTTATGATTCGCTATCATTTCCTTTACTCTCTTTTGTTGAAAAAAATGACCTAATCCATCTTTTCCCCTTTTCTTAAATTCAGTCCAAAAAGATATATCATATAGAAATAATGAGGATGCAAGATCCGACCTATACAGTTTGCTAAGTCTTCTTCGAATGAACTTTTTCACATAATGATCCAAGTCGTACTCTCCCGTGAAATTGTATAGTTCATGTGCTGCTACCCAGTGGCAACGATGTACTAGTCTTAAGCCTACTCCAAATTTCCGCCTTAGTAGCTGTTGTTGTGTAATCGGAAGAAATGGGAAAAGACAGAAAAGCCAAGCGAAAAAGGGAAATGAGTAAGCAAAGAAGCATTGTCTCAAAACCTCGGTGGAGATCACTCTACTGCGTCTCAACCACTTTAATTTCACATACGATCGTTGCACCTTTCCTAGACAGTTAGCAACTGATTTATACATGGATAGCTTACTGGTCCATGTATAACCTAGATATTTGAAATCGTTCACACATTCGAGTGGTGTATTATTCATCGATATTGTTAATGGTCGAAGACTAACTTGTGAATGAAAAACCTGATAGACAGTTTTGTCTATGTTTATCGGCTGCTTCCACCTACATGCATATTCATACAGTCTGTTACATACCTTAGAACCTTCCTTTTCTATGAACTGCAACAGTGGTTCAAGCTTTTTCTCAATCGGGGCTCTAATCAGTACATTCAGATCATCTGCGAATATATGAGCAGAAAAAGCACCTGTACTCAGTATCAGGTCCGCATGATACACTATAAATAAGTATGGACTTAGGGTACTCCCCTGTGGGAGCCCAATGGATATTTGGAACTCTTAGGTTTCTGTCTCGCCGAAAAGAACAAAGGCTTTTCGCGCGGTAAGCCAGGAGTACACAACCCTCAAAAGCGGAATCGGCATTCCAAATCGATATAATTTGACCAGTAACGCAGTGTGCCAAACTTTGTCGTAAGCCTTCTTATAATCAATATACACCGACAGGGTAGGCACATTCGCATCCAAATTGTTATGAACCTCTTGTAAGATAGACAAAACTCTTGTGGGAATTAGGCAATTGGGCCGAAACCCTGATTGCTCCATAGGAACAATGTTGTTTGATTCAGCCCAACTTCGAATTCGAACCAATAGTATTTTCTCAAACAGTTTAGAGTGTGTCGCCAGGAGGGATATTGGGCGGGTTTGCTCACACGTCGGAGTGCCTGCCTTTAACTTGTTTAAAGTAATAATTTTCGCCTTTTTCCATGTATCTGGAAATCTACCTTCCACTAGCCAGAAATTGAAACACTGACAAAGGCAGTAAATATATCCTGGAGGCAATAGTTTCAACATGAAATTGGAAACGGAATCATAACCTGATGATTTCTTAGGTTTGAGAGCTCTAACACATTTTCCTATTTCAAATACACTAGTTAGCTCAATTTTTTCTGAAGAATTAGTAAGAGTTTTCAATAACTCTTGAAGTTCGGCCTCGATGACTAAATCATATGGGTCTTTACTGTCAAATATAGGTGGTTGAAATTGTTCTTCATAGTAATTGTAGAGTTCTTCAGCTATTTTTTCCCTATCTGCAATAACTCTACTTCCCACTTGTAGCTTAGCAAAGGGAAGTGATTTTGACTTGTACAATCTCCCCAAATAGGACCAAAAATTTGTTTCACCACGAGTTCTACTTTCTTGAATTTGTGCTAGAAAGCTAGACCACCTCTTCGCGCGATATTTGGAGATGTCGGCCTGTACCTCTCTATTCAAAGTTCTTAGCAGAATTCTTTCTGCTTCATGATCCATATCATATCTTCGTTTACGGTAGTAGTTATTCCTAGCTAACCTCAACACCTTCAGTTTCCTCAGAATGTACTCAGGCAAAGCTGGTCGGAACTTCTCTTTCTCTTTCCATGTTGTTACTCGATTCTTAAGTGCTCCTAAAAAACGAATGTACAGTCTATACCAGTCATCAACTGGGACGTTTCCCTGCAGTTCCACCCAATAATCTTGAAGTAAGCATAAAATGATCTCATAATCTTTCCACTTTGTAATGGGGAAGAGGTTATGTGACTGGAAATTAACTGAGTTCGATGTATACACAATCGGCCAGTGGTCGCTGGTTCCTAATTTTTTTGTTTCTCCTTGCATACTCCTAACGTTAGTAAACAGAAGATCAATATTCCTTCCTGAACGTTTTGATGAATTAAACGTATTTTCAACATAAACGAGTTTATTTTCCACCACCCATTGTTTTAGAGTCATACCACGACTATCATCTCTGGGACTTCCCCACTCACACAGTGTTGCATTAAAGTCCCCTATCACTATTGTGTTGTGAATGATGAAGGTGGACAATTCATCTAAATTTCTCCGTTGGCTATGGGGCCAATACATCCCGATTACTCTTAACGGTTCAGTCAGACCAAGAATATCCACAATAACGGTGTTCGGAATCTTAGTAGATACTTCTATCATCTTGAGATTTTTCCCAACGGCTATACACACACCACCTGATCGATTTAAACCAGCATTATATAATATATTATAGTCAGGGATTCTAAAATTGTTCTCTTGTTCACCTACTTCTGTCAAAACTCACACAGAGGCCTCCACCGAGTGTATCAAGTCTATTACTTCTGTTACACGGTTTTTACAACCTTCAACATTATACACACAGATATTTAAGGGGATAGTATAAGTTGAATGATTACCAGGGCAGCACTTGGTGCTACCACTTTCCCAAAAGGATAGTGTTTGTTCTAATGATGATCCATACCACTCTCTAAGATAAGCTAGAATGTTATCAGTAACATGTTCTGAGAAACCCCAGTTTCTTAGTCGATTTCTATGATTTTCCAGTTTATTTGTTAATGATCTTGGATAAAAAGCACTTGCATTAGGGTTCAAATCCGATTTGATCATGAACAGGGATGAAACACCGCCGACTTCTCTGCTTCTTCTTGTAAAGTTGGTGTATTTGATGAAGATGTTGGTGATACAGCTACTTTATTCTTGTCAGGCACATTCGTTGATAAAGTCGTCGATCTTGTTTTTGATGCATTATAATCTGAATTAAAGTTTATACGAACTTGTTCAGCATGAATACGCAATGGACCTTCGAGATCGATCAGAGCAGTAGAAATTTGTTTTCTTATTTGATCATGAACGTCGGGAATTATATCAATTAGTGGAGAAAGTACATTTTTTATCAATTTCATGAGTCATGTATTAATTGTACATAAGCTTACTTGATGCAATTGGATGTTTTTTGTGTTTAACATCACTTGTTCATCTATTTTTTTTATAATCATATCCTTCATTGATAACATATCCCGTTTTAAATCATTGTTCATTTTGTACAGCATGTTAATGATAATATCGTTTGAATAGGTGTTATTGGTTGTCGTAAGTTGAGATGTAACATCCTGCCATACTTTGTTTTTCTTAGACTTGATGTTATCGATATTGATATTAGGTAGTGCTGGATATTCAATATCATAAGCAGCTCCAACAAATTGTGATTGATGTTGTTGATGTACTTGAATAGGTTTACGATTAATACTACCATCATTAATTGCTTGTTTCACTTCCGAGTTCAACTTCTTCCTGTATTGTTGAATGTATTCACATTTAGGATCTAGTGAGTGATGATCTTGCCCACATTGGGCACAAAGTGGTTTACCTGAACATGTACTTGTATGATCGTGATCGTAAACCTTTAAACAAATACGACATTTACGTTCCCGCACCAAACATGTTGCACGTGTATGACCAATTAACCAGCAATTAGTACAAAAAGTCATCTTATTTGCCGGTTGATATACTGTAACAGGATGAAGACGATTACCAATTGATATTCGACCGAGTTTTAACGCTCCTTCATATTCCGTCAGGTCGGAGACTGTAAAACGGAAGTCATTTGTAGTACGATTATATGAATAAATAATTTGTTTAATGTTGTCCGCTGAACTTATTGATCTTTTAATTTCTTCAGTTACAATTTGAGTAGAAAATGATTTTGGAATGTACCGCAATACAAGTGTAAAACATTCCGGAACGAATTTTGGTTTAATGATCGAGGTTTTTTTTCCATTGATTAATGTTGGCCATTTATCCGAAAGTACAAGTTTTGAATAATCTTCCATATTGTTTACTCCCAATTTCAAACGATGACCTATAAATACAGC